GAGAGAGAGAGAGAGAGAGAGAGAGAGAGAGAGAGAGAGAGAGAGAGAGAGAGACGGTGCTTGGTTGTCACGTTTGGCCTCCAAGTGTGCCGCCGTTGCCAACGAGCAGCCGGTGACTTCGGCGCTACACCGCGCGTCCGATAATACCCCCTGCCGGCGGAGACTTTACGACGCCGATGCGGCGTCGATACCCGCCTCGTTGGCGGCGCTGGCGTCGCGCGCGCCGGCGGCCGCCGGGCCGGGGCGACGGGCGACCTGGCGGCAGGCGCGGCGTCGGCGGGGCGGCCAGGCACCGGCCACTGTCACGGGGTCATGGTATCTCCGCTTCCGGGACAATGCGGCCGCGAGCGCCGAGTAAAAAGGGAGAGGAGGGAAGGGAGAAGAGAGGCGGACGGGCGGGCAAGAAGGAGCCGAAGCCAAAGATTTATCGGCTGATTCAAGGCAGGCGCGCGCAAGACACGCACGTACGCACACGCACGCACGCACGCACGTACGCACGCACACACACACACTCCCACTCACACAAACGGGCGTGCGCGCGTCAGACGCTGCTCTGTGTTGCGCTGCTGTCAAGGAACGGCTGGACAGAGTCGTCGATTCGCTGGTAAAAGTACTTCAGCAGATAGAGACAGCCACTGCTGGGGGGGATGCCGCGACGCCGAGCAAGGCGCGTGAAGAGCAAAGAGTGTTGTTACGTCGTCATCCTGTAGAATTGTCACCGTTACGTCAGAAAGAGTCATCGTCAAGACGGTCATCATCATCATCATCGTCATCATCATCCACGTCGTCGTCCTCACCGCCGTCAGCACCCAGCCAGCAGCGGCTCCGGGACTCCAAGACACAGCGGCGACGACCATAAGGGCCGCTCCCACGCCCCGAAGCGCAGCGCTTTTACGGATGTGAGAAATAGTAAAACGCCCGTTCATCCGTCCGCCCCGGTCGGTCCGTCCGTCCGTCCGTCCGTCCGTCCGTCGCGGTGATTTACGCCGCAGACGTGACCCGTGTGTGTCGCCTGCTTTTATTCGAATCGAGAAGGGGGGAAAGAGAAGACCAAAAGTGGTCATAATAATTATGACCTTCTTCTTGTTCTTCTCTTTCTTTTCCACCAGGTTGGGGCAACGACCGCCGCCGCCGCCGCCGCACCGACGACGCGCGGCCGCGACAAGCGCAGTACACCACCAGCCAGCAACGCGGCAGCGGCGGCGGCGAGGCGTCCACCACCACCAGTTTCGTTTTGTTATCAGAGGGGCCTGCCGCCTGCCCCGCCCCGCCAAGCCCCGCCCGACGCACACACCACACAGGAGAGGCGAGCGTGACTACAACATGCAACCCGCCGACTACTTTCTTCATACGCGCGTCCCTGTCGCGCCGCGGCCGTGCCCTGCACCACCATACGCCCCGCCCCGCCCCGCCCCGTCCCACCCCGCACGGCCCCGCCCCGCACGGCCGCCTGCTGCTGCTGGCGAAACACACTCCTCTGTGCCGAGCGCTCACTGCGGCCCACAGAGTTATTGTGCCGCATTCGCCCCTTGTCCCTCCTTGTCCGCGACGGCCCGGAGTGGGGCGTCCGTTCCGTGGTTTTCAGGTGGTGTGCGCGAGAGAGAGATAGAGAGAAGGAAGAGGGGGTAACTCTTGACTTTATCGCCCTTTATAAAATCGGGAACATGACAGACATGTAGATCATCGGGCGGCGGCGGGGTATCGGTGCGACAACACTTCCAAAAGGGGGGGGGGGGAATAAGGATTTGTCTTCAGAGGAGTTCGAAGAGAAGAAGAGAGTTGAGCGCGGGGATTGGGAGGATGGGGGTAATACGGCCACTCTGTGACATCCGACGACGACGACGATGACCCTCTACCACTCGTTGAGAGAGCCGCTCGGTGAAAGCGCCCCGTGTGCTGCTGCGGCGCGCGTTCGCGTCGGGCACTCGAAAACCATGTGCGGCGGTTTGTCAAACGACGACCCGAGACCCAAAGGACCAGCAAAGGACCCTACGAGATTAATCCCGAGGGGAGGCAAAAGAGAAGGTGGGTCATGTGTTTGCTGTTGTAGTTGTTTTGTTGTTTTGCTGGTCGCGGCCGCTGTTTTTCCTGCCGAATGCTGAGTGCGAGTGGTGCGAGCAAAGCCGTGCGCGTGGTACCTATTCCGAGATGAGGTCCTTATGTACTCCGTCGTGCGCAGTCGTCGCGGGAAGAGGCGATGTGTGTGTGTGTTTTGTTGTTTTGTCCTCCTCAGAGAGCGTCGCGTCGGCCCGGCGCGCCATCTTTGACCGCAACAGGATCGCCGCCCCGCCTCGCCCCGCCCCACCCTGCCCCGCCGCGCCCGCACCGCGCCCCGACGGACGTACTGCCTGTTTACAAGTTTATGAGGCTCTCTCGGCGGCCCGGTCGCTCCTCGCGGAAGGCCACCATGAGCTCTGCGCCCGCCACCACGAGCTCAGCAAGCCCGCGCCTTGCCCGTGGCGGGCGTGCTGTGCTGTACTTACTGTACTGCTTGTATGCTTACTGCTGCAGCGGGCGGCGACACCGCGACTTACTACCGTGTGTGCGCGAGGTAGGCAACCTCCCCGCCTCCCCCTTCTTCGCCTCCTCACCTCGCGCGCTCCGCTTGACTCCGGCGGGTGCACGTGCGTGCATCCCAGCTGGAACGGGGGGAGGGGGGGGGGGCGGCGGGTCTACGGCTGCAACACCTGTCCTGTCTCTGTGCCTCCGCCGCCTCCGCCGCCTGCCCTCCTGGCTATGGGCCGGGCGGCCTCGGGGGTCGGTCGGTCGGTCGGCGGGCGTACCTCGCCGCCACGACACGGCAGGGCCCCCTCATAGCCGACGCCCCCGCTGCGCCCCGCCACGCCCCGCCACCCTAGCACGTGTGCACACGTGCTGCGTAGCAGGGGAGAGAAGACGCAAGAAGGGCTCAAGAGCAGACTGGTTACGCTCCACCACACGCCAGGTGGACCAGCGCCCTCCCGTCAGACTCTCTGTCTCTGTCTCTCTCACACCAACACACACACACACACACACACACACACACACACACACACCTATCACGGGCTTCCGGTCGCGTAGGGTGCAGAGGTGAGGGATAGGCTACAAGAGTAAAGCAGCAACACGCGCGTCCCTTTTTGAAGCAGTCAGTCTGCTTCCCTGCTCCCATCCCAATGAGCAGCAGCAGGACATTTTGTGGGACGTTTTCCACCAGCAGCACGACGGCTCATGCCCGCAGCAACAACCACCTATGATCATAGCATAGATAGGAGAAAAGGTGGAGGGTCAACGATTTAATGGGTCCGCGCATGGCGGAGCCCCGGTGGTGGTGGATCGCATGCAAAATGTCACAGTAGCGCAGCTGGGGCGTAATGTGTGTGTGAGTCTGTGTGTGTGTGTGTGAGTGTGTGTGTGTCGTGTCGCTCTGTGTTTGTTATGCGTCGCGGCTGAGCTGAAGCGAGGAGTGAGATACAGTAGTGATTGAGCCCCATAGTGTGTGAGAGAGGAGGGAGGAAGGGAGGGAGGAAGGGCGGAGAAAGGGAGAAAGAGGGAGAAGAGGGCATAGAGAGTAGAGAGTTACTCTCTTTCCGCAAGATGTCGCTGTGGCTGCGTTTGGCCGTGCTCTGCCAGCAGGGCGCAAAGCTTGGGCCGCGCGGAGCGAGCGCGAGGCGAGCTAGGCCAAGGACCCTAGCGGCGTCGGGGAGCAGCGTCGTCGGGCCGGGCGGGCCAAAGCTTATGAAGAGCAGACGTTGGAGCGGCCAAGGTTACGGGAGCGAGTAAAGCGAGCAGGCGAGCGAGAGAGACAGGGCCAGCGAGCGAAGCACGGAGACAGAGCAGGAGGTCCTTGACGAGGCCGGGGCCCACTGTCGCTCGGCCCGCGCGCGGGCCCCACCAAAGCTTATGCAATACATTGTAATCGGAAAATGAATGCAAACAGCCTGGAATCGATCTAAGACGCAAGCGCTGCACTCAGCGGTGTGTGTGAGTCTGCTCGCCGTGGCTGCCGATCCTAATCTGTGGCGGGGCGTACCGTGGCGGGGTGTGTACACCCGGGGGGGGGGGGGGGGGTCGCTCGGGAGGAGCAGCAGCAGCAGCTCTTCTCGCGGTTCAGTTCGCCAGCCAGCGCGGCGTTACCCCGTCAACGCCACAGTGTAACGCGATTACCGTGTATTTTTCGGACCACGCAGCAACCGGCCCGGCCGCCTAAAGCGTGTGTGTGCGCGCCGCTATGCTGACATGAGTTGTGTCGGAGTTGTGTTTCGACGATACGGCCGGGGCCGGGCCGAGCGGAGCCGAAGTGGGAGAGCCGAACCGAGGCACCCATCAGAGGGCCACTAGTAGGGTGCCGCACCGTATCGGGAGTATCAGAGGGAGAAGTGGTGGTGGTGGGAGGGCCAGCCGGGCAA